TTTATTTGCTTTTATGGTGTAGGGCTGCATTCATTGAGATTAATTTGGCTCATCTAACTTGAACAGGCCACCTCATTAATCTAAAAAAAAAAAAAGGAAAGGAAAGGAAAGGAAAACAATGCGTGACATGGAGTGCTGTAAGTCCTTCGGAAACATTTGACAGCAGGAAAGCAGCTGGAATGGAGGCTGGCAACCCTGCAGTGAGGATTCCGGCTGTCTCCTGGGGAGGCAAAGATGGGGTCCTCTCTTTCCAGGGGATTGCTAGAGGCAGAACATGGATGGCAGTCACCATTTGTCTTGTCAGGCATGCTTTGAGACACCCCTGTTATTTCTGGGCCAAGTTCCCCCCTGGTCTGGCGGGAATTAGTACTGGAAGCTGGCAGGTGAGGCTTTATAGCAAACAGAGCAGTGACACTGGAAAAGGAAGGAGCATGTCTGCTGTCACAGTACCGTCAACCTCATAGACAATCCCTGAAGCAGCAGAAACGTGATCCATCGTTACTCATGTGAACGCTTGAAGAACTGCTTCCTGTGTAGGCAACAGGTAGCTCTGAGGTCACGTGCAGAACTAAGAAACTCCTGAAGATGTTTGCCAAGGGGGCCTCCCCGCGCGGGACCTACTTCTGTCTGAATTTAAGTGTCCTCTTGAGTGAGCAGTTCAGGACAGCTGGGATCAGCAACATGCCCTCCCTCATCACGAAGGTGCTCTGTATAAAACCGTAAGATCAAGGTAAGCAGTACAAGTGTGTTCTCCCTGCCATGCTTCCTGCAAGAGTCAGGGGGACTTCCAGAGTGGAGACCTTTGGACAGAACAGGTAGTGATGGGCATTTTTAGAGTAATGCCCAAAGAAAGAAGTCAGCCATGGGAAAGCAAACAACAAAGCAGCTGGGACATCCGGTTGCAGGCTAGACCACCTTGAGAGGCTCAGGGCAGTCTGTCAAGAAGGAGAAGAGGTACAGATGTTCGGAGGTATTCACGAGCATGTGCGTCCCAGAGGCCCAGACAGCACGTCTTGTCAGCAAGCTGAATGCTGCTCTTCCCCTCCGGGATGGGCTTTCACCGACACTGCAACAGCACCTTTGCAGGCAGTGACTTAGGACCCAAGTCTTGCTTGCTTTGCTACAAACAGGAGACTCTCATGTTGACTTTTTTTTTCCCCCTCTGGAAGAGGGATTCTTTCCATAACTAAAATAGAGTAAGTTTTTGAATGTAAAACAAGTACTCTTGCCCTGGCTGGTGTGGCTCAGTTGGTTGACCCTTGTCCTAGGCACTAAAAGGTTGTCAGTTCAATTCCCAGTCAGGGCACATGCCCCGGTTGTGGTTCGATCCCTGGTAGGGGGAGTGCAGGAGGCAGCCGATCGATGTTATGCTCTCACATGAACATCTCTCTCTCCCCCTCTGTAAAAATCAATATTTTATATATATGAACAAGTACTCCTGTAATCCCGCAGACTGGTGGGATTTATCCTGCAATACCCGGACCTCTGAACAACTGCCTTAACATGTCATAACACCCTTACCATTAAGACATAGTTCAGTATAGACTTCACCATGTATCGTAAGACATGGTCACAGTCCATTCACAAATTTACCTTGGGAAACAAGCTGTACAAGACATCCTTGTACTACACCCCTTGTGAAAAGCTGAAAAGTAGTTCTGTATCTCAGCATTCAAGGTTACAAAAAGCACTATTGGCTGACTCAGAACTATTAATCGACTTGCAAACTATATTCTTACATCTGCTATGTGCTTTGAAACTTTAATGTTTATGACGGCTTGGCATCACCCAATATTCACCCACTGTGCCAGGGCCCACTGTGGAGGACTAACCAACACTAGCATTTCAGCTTCAGCTACCCTATTAAGTAAGCTAAGGGTCCTGGAAGGGAAGACCCCTAGAGTTAGTGTAACTGAAAGCTTTCAGGTAGGCCTCGACCAGCTGTCCTTCCTGAGGCCTACAAATTTATATAGGGTTCCATATTTACCTATTTTATAACCAATAGCTAGTATCAACTAAGGTTGGAAAAAATTTCTAATTTGAATGAAGTTTGGTTACAAGTTACCCCATTTCAAGACAAAATCTAAAACAATAAATCAAGTTCAAGCCAAAATCAGGACCTAAAACGGCTCCTCTGCTGAGAACTAATTGCCTCATCTGTCCAGGGGCCAACACTGCTTAGGTGTAGGTCACTAGTATGGCATGGGCTCCAGACCATGGGCTCTTTTATCCGGTGTAGGCAGAGTTCCATTTCTCTCAAGCTGACGTTTAGTGACAAGTGCTGTAGCCTGAAATAGTGAACCAAGGTTCTTAGCAAATCGCATGTGTTTTGCTTAGTGTTGGGCCAGGCACACTCTGGCTTATGTCTTCTGTAGTTATAGAGAAGGCCACCTCCTCTTCCACCTGGCTCAGTAGAACACTTCTGGGCCACTGAAAAAGTCTGCAAAAGTGGGATCAGATTCTCGATAGGTTGCTGTACAAGTGGCTGGCAGTGGAAAGTTGGGGTGAAGGGTAGAAGTAGATGCTCTGCTGTCTGGCTCTAGAAGCCAGGGCTCACACTTGTAATCCTAAAAGGTGATCAGACATTTTCTCTTTAAAGCCCAAACGCAGATCCACAGTCCACTTGCAAACTCTAGAGATAAGACAGATGGTGGTGGGTTCGGGATGGGCTCTCTAGAAGGCTCCCTGCCTTCAAAACACATGCCCTGGGCAAATGGATGCTGACTGGTCCTCGCTCTTATTATTCTGCCTTCGGGCTACTTTCAGGTGCTATGATTCCAAGGTTGTGTTCTCCCAGTAATAATTCATTTGTGTTGTAAAGACAACAGCTGCTTCCCATCACTTTATCAGCAAACTTGACACATTTATAAGTTCATTAAAATCTTATCAAATGTAGCCAATTAAAGAATTGAGGCATACAGTATTCTGAATTTCAAAGTTAAGTAAGCCTAAGTCCCTAAGCATAGTATGGGTCATACCTAAGTTTTGGTTATTATTTTTTGGTCTATTTTTTTTATTTTAATTTTTGGTTATTCTTGAATTTACATATTCACATAAATTTTAGAATCAGTTTGAAGAATTCTATGGTAAGTCCTATTGAGATTTCAAAATAGAATGGAATTCTTTGTAATATTAAGTCTTCTCACTCTAACCATAACCTTGCTCTCCATTATTTTTCTTTTATGTCCTTCTATAAAGTTTTACCTTCTCCAGTAAGACTTGAGCAAATTTGTTAAGTTTTTTTTATCAGGTAATCATTAAAAAAACTGCTATTGTGGATGGTATCCATTTTCCTCCTATAAAATTTCCCACTTAAATATTGCCATTATATGTTTGTACAGTGATACCTCGGTTCTCGAACGCCTCGGTTTTCGACCAAATCGGTATTCGACCAGGAGATTCGAGAAACTTTTGTCTCGGAATCCGAACAAATATTTGGAACTCGAACTTCCGAGATGAGCCGAGTTGAGCCGAATGGCGTTCATTCGGCCCAGCGCGCCTTGCTTGCGTCATCAGTGTGAGTGCAGAGAGAGAGTCACGCTTTGTGGAGTCACGCTTTCCTATTGGGTTTCATTGCTTCGGTTCTCGAACAATTCGGTTCTCGACCGTCCTCCTGGAACGAATTATGTTCGAGAACCGAGGTATCACTGTATATTAATCTTGTATTCAGTAACATTTCTGAGCTTTCTTCATTGGTCTGGTAACTCATCAGTTAATTGTCCTTGATCTTTTTATAAATAGTAAGATTTGTTCTCACTTTCCAATATTTATATCATTTTCTTGTGTCTTTTTGCACTGGCTAGGACCTCCAAGAACACTGTTGAATAGAACTAGTAAAGAGTATCTTTGATCTCTGAGAAGAATGCGTTTAATATTTTACTCTTGATTATGATGTCTGCTTGAGATATCTTTAAACAAGTTCAGGAATTTTTAGGTTAATATTATTTTTTTATATAAAAAATGGTATGGAAACCAAGACTTACTCCAGTTTAAAATGATTCCTCTTGAGGAATTTAGGATTACATAAATATGTAACAGTTCAATGTTACTTGTTTTCCTTTGGTACCCAAGCAGCTCAGAGCCAAGCCAAATACAACTGCATACCACAGCCTGCGCTCATCTATATTATACTGGCAACATTCCTTCCAAACCCTCCCCTACATTGATTTATATCTTCCTAGATATTTCCCCCTTACTTTACTATTTTATTGCTCAAATTTCCTGTCAACTTTCACAATTCTTTAATACAATGAGATGAAGTATAAATAAAAATTTTAAAACAGATGTGGCTATATTTGGATTTAAAATGTAAAATCAGAGAGAAATGTAGTATGGGCAAGAAAATACTGTGGGGTCTTTTAAAAACAAATCCATTAGTTATCAGGAAATCATGTGGAGACCTAGCACTATGGTTAATGAGTCTCTTGGGTGGCCATATGAATCAAGTCTCAGAAAACATCTGGAGTTAGATGAATTCTGTGGGGCCTCAGGAATCTGGTCCAGAGTAAATCCAGTAGTTAAATAAGGCCCACAAATACTTACATTTTGAAGCTTAAGTATTTGTCATAGGTAGCCATTAGCAAACATTTAAATTTCATACAATGAAGAGAAACCCAGGAGCCATTAACATTTTCAGTAATAAGTGCTTAATAAAAATTTTGTTGAATATACAATCCCAGGCCATTTCAAATCCTTTTTAGAAGGCATCAAGAAAAAAATGATTATATCTCTTATAGCTGAGTGATCAAACTAAAAAAATAACTATTCCTCTCAACAAATGTGTAAATATACCCCGACTTTATGATTTTTATTGTCTTTGTCAGGCCTTTAACTATGACATATATATTTCTGTAATTCAAACAAAAAATTCACTTCCTCTTCCCCTTTAGGGTTCTAAAGTGTAGAAGACTGATAAAAATGAATTTTAGGAAATGGATTCTCTTATCCAAATCGGTTACACCACAGCCCCCATATGGTTTGCCACGGTTCCACAACCACACTTTCACAAAGACAGACACATCTCTAATAACAGTTAAATTTATGAGCATCTTAAAATAACTTGAAAAATATGTAGTACAAAAGAAATTAAACCCACAAATTACAAAGATTTTACTAATGTGCACACTGCCAGTCCATCTAAATTTGGCATATCCAATCTACTTAACTGATTTATTTAATGTGGTAATTTAAAAAAATTCCATTGGGGGATGAATGATATATTTATGTCCTTGACAAAGGTGACAAGTGTGATATTGTGAATAAGAAAGTAAAATATAATTCCTGGCTATATTACTGTTCTGGCTCATCAAAGCTAACAAAATATGTGAGGGTCTTCCGTGTCCAAGGAGGTTAGCCAAATGTAATAGAAGGTGCGCTGGGTAGGCAGACATTTTCATCGTACAGATTTTCTGGTAGTTCCTCTTCATCCCCATCAGGAAAATATGTAGGGAATGGTAGATTTTTGCAGAAATCCTTATATGCAGGTAATTTAGAATCTTTAATCTAGGGGGGAGGAAGCAAAGATCTTAGTAATTATTGCTATCAATTAAGTTACTTAAAGATAGCCTGTTTTACTGACTATTCATAATCAAAGAATATCTGTTCCTATATTTTCTAATGTGAATAATGTAACTGTTGTATACAAAGTAAAAGGAACTCAATATATTCTTTTCATTTCAATAAATTTAATTAATCCAATGACAGAAATACAATCTTCCTCAAGTTAATCAGCTATCTCATAAGAAAATTACTGATTATTAATTTATATCTTACTCATAACTTATAAATCTCTAGAACTGCCAAGCAGGATAAATTATATTCTATAAATACTATTTAAATATCAGTTATATCCAAATTGATTTTTTAAACAGAAAGGTTGATATAAACTATACTCCTAAAAGGTATTACTCTCTACTTAATTACTGATGTCATCTATTCACATTATCTATTTTTATTATTTTATTTTATACCATAGATTTTTTCGAGCTGAGTGTAAAAAATATTTACCTAGTATTTTTATTGTCTTAATTCTAAGTACACATAATAAAAAATATTAATTTTTTATTAAAGAAATTAGCTTACATTTAATAGGTAGCATTTTCATTTAGAAGCTAAGAACAAAATGGTATTTGGTAAATGATAATAAACTCATGTCTTTAAAATATTGCTATTAACTCTTTATAGTCTAAAAACATTCTAAGTATATCTGTGAATTCATAAACCAAGGAAGAGTACAGATACTGATATAATCTAAAATGTTGGGTTTTATTTCTGGAAAACATCATTGGGTTCTTTAAAGCTTCCGACTTACTCTACAGCCTTCATTCAGGGAAGAATAAAAAAAAAATTACATATAATTATACACACAGGGTAAAATAAGCCATAATTATTTTGGCAATAAAAAAAATGAATAATTTGGCTGAAATAAGTACTGACCTGCTAGGAACAGCTAAGCACAGAATAACATATTCACTTTAATCTCTCATTAAAATTATTCCAAAAAATTATCTGTAAGTTGCCCAGAAGTAAATAAACTTGTTTTTTCCCAACTAATCCTGGGTTGAACTTTAATTTGGAATAAAAAAGGTAATATTCTTACCAATTTAAACTGTCTCAGAATTTAGAACTGAAAATAAACCTAAGTAAATAAACAATAAAACTTTCTGTGCTAATTTGATAAATGTAAACATTTACTAATAAATGACCTAAAGAGTGAGTTCTCAGTTACTTTTACATTTTTATAAATCTGTTGTACCTGAGGAACATTTCGGACAAAAGCACTGTGTAAAGATTTCAACTGGGAATGCTACTGTACTATAAGTCACGGACTTGAAACACACAAGAATGACAGCCGCTATGAGGACCAACAGTTGGCAGTCCAAGGTGCAAGACTCTATGGCATATATTTTTGCGCACTTACTCTTACCCCTGGCTTTATTACTTCCCTGCCTTTACCAAGAACCCCTCAACTACCCACCTCCTTCTTTTCATATTTATGTGTACTGGCAAACCAGTACAAATCCTTTGAGAAAAGGTGGTGGGGGCAGGGGGAGATTAGGACACACACAAAAACCAGGCACACTTGAAAATAAACTTAATTTATAAATTAGGACATAGGGATGAGCACACAAGAATAGTATTTAATAGCATAAACTACACGATGCTGTAAACAGTTCTTTAGGCTCTCGTAATACATTTAGTGAAATTCAAAGCTTAAATCAAGGAAACAGGTTGGTCATTCCTAGGACTATCTTTACTAATTTTAGAATTGAAAAAAAAAAAAAAGTTGCTGGCAGCCCTGCACTCTGAGGGAACAACAGCTCCCGTGGGGGGTGGACAGTCCTGAGGCCCCTGTCCAGCAGCAAGTGCCTCAGTCTCCCTGGGCAGGGGGCTCACTCAGCTGCTGTGCAACCACCTGGGAGAATGGGAGAGTGGGCCGAATGTTTTCAGAAGATGTACCAAACTTCTGACATTTAAAACACAAGCCCACACGTACCCCTTCAAACTCACACCTTAATGTCTGGGAAAGACATCTAAGGTTACAAAAAAGAAGCTGTTTAGGTACCATAATTCAAAGACTATTTTTTTAAGATGAGTTTTTTTTCATCAAAATATGTTCGTTGAAAATGTATTCACTAGTATGTTAACAGTTCAAAGTGGACTAGACATTTCTCTGCTGCTATAGTTTCTCAAAGTACATTTGGCCTCCTCTTCTGGAACTGCCTTTGGTGTACCTTCTGACTGTCTTCAATGATAGCAAGCCATCATCCGTCAGAGCTGATTTTTTGAAAGCAATCTTTAATTAAAGTGGATGAAAAGTCTGAGTAATAAATGTTATTGATCATACACTGTTTGTGACAACGAGATCAAGAGTCACTGCACATAATGGTTTTTCAAGACAGCTGGCCTGTTCATCCCCATGGCGTCGACGATGCCGAGGCGGCACACGAGAAGTCGCAGCAGCAGGTTCAGCTGGAAAGCCAGCCTAGAACCGTGTGTGCAGCAAATGGGAATATATAGATTTGACAACATTAAAACATTCACCTGATACCTAGTACAATTTTATTATGGAAAATAATCACTTTCCTTTTTTCTCTTTTATTAGGTTGTGATATGCATAACATGTAATAAATCTGAAATGTGGAGGTAGGGATACATTGAATTAGGAAGCCAAAATGTTATGAGAAATCCAACGACAACCTGCTGGCTTCAACTACCTGTCACTGTAATCACTTGGAGAATGGATCACTTGAAGACAAGAAACCTACTTAAGCCTAAACACCTGCAATCTTAAAAAAGACCTTGCAAATATTCATCAAATGCCTTTTTTTACTTTAAGAAAAATGAGAATAATTCAGTCAAAAAGTGAAGAATGCGAGAAAGAGAATTTTAATTACTGTAAGAGACCCAATATGAAAAATCTGAGGTTTAACTTTCAATCTATTTTGTTATTGTTAGAAAATTAATGAATATATTTCTAGGAATAACTGATAACACTTCTGCTACAAATTTATTTTCAAAATGGAAGATTCAAAATTCAAGTGATCTATCACTTTGTATTACCCTGGCTTAAATCCCAGGTGGAATCTTTAATTTGTATTTTATTTGATGGAAATAAGTCTCTAAGAGTGAGTTTTTCTTCAAATCTATCCTGCACAGTTTTTTCTTCTTCTTTTAATTTATATTTTGAACATAAAAATGAGAATGTGTATCTTTAGGGAAAATACAAGTACACTCAGAGCAATGCTAGCAATAATAATAACAGAATCTCTCTTTAAAATGTCTACCTTTAATAACTTTTCTTCTTGCCTCTCATTTATTTTCCACCTCCTCTATTTCTGGTTCCTGTGTCCAAGTACTCTTAAGAAACTACAACGTTTGTTTTTGGAACGACAGATATATTGATATTTTGGCAACAGTATTCTAATTTCCTTGTTATATTTCTAAAGACTCTGCTTATTGACCCTACCCTTTTTGCAGGGTCATCATTTTATAGACATATACTAGGTTATTTTGTGCAATTCTTTTGCTCAGGTGCTACTAAAAAGCAAAAAATAATTTAGCAGAGAACTCATGGAATAACATATATGAACAATAGAAAATAAAGACAGCTATACATACCTTTACTAAGCAATTTTTATGTCCAGGTACAGAGCCATTTACATAGATTATATTGTGCTTTGTGTTTATTCTCCACACCTAACGCAAGAAATGAAATAAAAGTTTAAAAGTTAAAAATTTGAGAAAATATAACACACACACACATCCTCCACAATCTCAATAACTGTAAAACCTATTAGAACAATCGTAATGTTTAAACATTAAATTGAACAAATAATAAAGCAGACATACACTAAATACCCACTCTGGTGTATTAAAGCATTAATGTAACTGTTCCTAAAAAGAGCCACTTCAGAAACTTACCTTCAGTCCAAATGCTGTCCTATCTATGTTTCCCAACTTCCCAGGCATTTTAGTTCCAGGCCAGACTCTGGCAATATCCTAAATGAGAGAACCAAAATTAGCACTTTCAAATACTCTCAAAGAGTTCTGATAAAAATGAAATGTAAACTAAGACAGGAGTTATGTTTTATTTTTCCCCCCATTCTGCAAGGCCTTAGTAAAGAACTAAATATGGATTTAGACACTCTACACCAGCAGGGGTAATCTAATCTAAATTAGATTAGAGAAACAAACTAAATAAAGACTAAGAACAGATTTAGGAGGAAAACTCAGCAATAAGACAGTAGCAACTGCACTAGTACTGGTTGAGAATTTAAAAAGAAAAATAAAGGATATATAAACATGTCACACCACCAAAGAAACAATGAACGGCTGCCGACCTGTTTCACTAATCTCCTGTATTAACTGTTGATTTAATGGACTCCATCCACACTACTGCTTCTGAAATGGTCCTACTCCCCCACCCTTGCTTTTGATGTCACCTTCCCTTCACCAGAATGATTAAAGGACAGAGTCAGTTAACAGAATATTGAGTTTGTTTATCCAGCCCTGGTTATCTCTGATTCACATAAATCAAACAGTTTCACACAGCCTCTCTGATTTTGGCTTTGATAGTGGACAATAATTTTACATCTAAAGAAGCAAATATGAATTACATCTAAAATGGGGAAGGTTCTCATGACACATAATTCTTGAAATATAAAAACTTTTGCTTCCCTCTGTCACAATAATAGGCAAAAGTCTAGGGGAAGTAGCTCATATTAAGAGAGAAACAACACAGCTTAAAAGACAATTCTGAAGATTATGGATGAAGTAGCACTCTTATTCATGCTATATTTATCCTGTGAATATACTGGTGATAAGTACCTTAACATTACCTTATTAAAATAAGACTGCCCTCCCCAATTAAATTACTTTACTTAAAAGTATACCCTAACTCTTAGGATTGTAAAGGCATTCACTAGCTAATCCTTACTGAAATCATTTACAAACACAGAACAGTGTATTTTATGACAAATAACTAACTTCAGTTATAAGAACAGGTTCTTCTACATGCCTAATTTTTAAAAGAACTTTATTGATATAATTCATGTCACATATTTCATCCTTTTAAAGGGCATGGTTTAATGTTTTTAGCATATTCAGAGTTGTGTATTACCACAATAAATTTTAGAACACTTTCGTCAATCCCAAACAGGAATTTCATACCCATTAGTGGTCACTCTCCCAGCCCTGTGCAACCACTAATCTACTTTCATCTCTACAGATTTGCTTAGGATGGACGTTTCATATAAATGGAACCTTAAAATATACAGTCTGCTGTGCTTGGCTTCTTTCACTTAGCATAATGTTTCAAGGCTTGGGCATATTGTAGTATGTATCAACACTGCATTCCATTTTACTGCTAAATAATATTGTGTGAATGCACCACTCTTTTAATTATCCACTCACCAACTGATGACCCTTTGGGCTGTTTCTATTTTTTGGCTATTATGAATAATGCTGCTATGACTACTCATGCACAAGTCTTTGTGTGCATGTTTTCACTTCTTTTGAGGTATTCACCAAAGAGTGGAATTGCTGGGTCATACCATAATTTTACACTTAACCTTTTTAGCAACTGCCAAACCATTTTCCAAAGCAGCTGCACCATTTTTACATTCCTACCGATGATGTATAAGGCTCCCAATTTACCTACATCCTTGCCAATATTTGTTATTTTTTTTCAATTATAGTCATCATAGTGAGTATGAAGTGGTATCTTACTGTGGTTTTGATTTACATTTCTGTAATGGCTAAAGATGTTAAGCATCTCTTCATGTGCTTATTGGCCATTTGTATATCTTCTTTGGGAAAATGTCTACCCAAGACCTTTGCCTACATTTAACTGGGTTTTTTAGTATTGAGTTGTAAGAGTTCTTTATATATTCTGGATACAAGTCTTAGCAGATATATGATTTGCAAACATTTTCTTCCATTCTGTGAGTTGTCTTTTCATTTTCTTTTTATAGTTTGAGTTATTTTAGAGAGAGAAAAAAGAAATATCAATGTGAGAGTATAACATCAATCGGCTGCCTCCTACATGCCCTAGCACTACCGAGGATCGAACCAGCAACCTCTTGGTGCACAGGATGACACCCAACCAACTGAGCCACACTGGCCAGGGCTCCTTCCATTTTCTTAATGGAACTGTTTACAGCACAAAGTTTAAACTTTTGATGAAGTCTAATTTATATCTTCTTTTGTTACTTGCACTTTTGGTGTCATATATAAGGCTTTGCCAAATCCAAGGTCTTGAAGATTTTACTCCTACGTTTTCTTGAAGTTTTTAAGCTCTTAAATTTATGTCTATGATCTACCTCATTTTATGACTTTTTATTTTATATAATTTATAACTATATAATTTCATATTTATAAGACATTGCAAAAATAAAACAAAAAGCTCTCATACTCATTACCCAAATTTACCAGTTGTTTACAGGTTGCCCATGTGCTTTCCCATTCATTCAGCCTATCTCTATGTCTGCACATTTCCTATATCATCTAAAATCTGGTGGCAGACATGATGTTCCTTTACCCATAAGTAGTTCAGTGTCTACTTCCCAATAACAAGAATATTCTCTTATATAACCACAATACGGTTATGAAACTCAAAACATTTAATCCATTATCTAATCTACAGTCCATTTTCTAATTTTGTCAACTGTCCCAACAATGTTTTTTAGAGCTATTTTTTCAAGTCCAGGATCTATTGCAGAATTATGCACTGCACTTGGTTGTCATGTCTCCTTAAATCTGGAGCAGCTCCTCAGCCTTTCCTTGTCTTTCATGACCTTGACGTTTTTGAAGGCTACAGACCAATTATTTTGTAGAATATCACTCGTTTTGGGTTTGTCTAATGTTTCCCTGTGATTAGATTCGGGTGATGCATTTTTGATAGAACCACCACAGAAGTGATAATGTGTTCTTTTTCTGGAATCCGATCAGGAGGTACATTATATTGGTTTGTTCAATTACTGGTGATGTACAACACTGATCAATTAGTTAAGGATGTGTTCACTAGGTTAATGCACTCTAAGGTTATTATTTTTCCCTTTGTAATTAATAGGCAATTTGCTATGGGACTAGTAAACAACTAGCTTTCACCACTTGTTTTAGCATCCACTGACAATTCCTGTCTGAATCAATTATTCCTATGATGGCTGGCAAAATGAAATTCTATCTTCAACATTCCTTCCACATTGATTAGCTGAGATTATACAGTAAAGAAAGAGCAGTTACTTTTCTTCCATTTATTTATTAACCTATCTATTCATTTTATATACAGTGATACCTCGGTTCTCGAACATAATTCGTTCCAGGAGGATGGTCGAGAACCGAATTGTTCGAGAACCGAAGCAATGAAACCCAATAGGAAAGCGTGACTCCACAAAGCGTGACTCTCTCTCTGCACTCACACTGATGACGCAAGCAAGGCGCGCTGGGCCGAATGAACGCCATTCGGCTCAACTCGGCTCATCTCGGAAGTTCGAGTTCCAAATATTTGTTCGGATTCCGAGACAAAAGTTTCTCAAATCTCCTGGTCGAATACCGATTTGGTCGAAAACCGAGGCGTTCGAGAACCGAGGTATCACTGTATTTGTACCAGCGTGAATCATTGATCCTAAGTTTATTTCATTTTTTTAAGTTTTCAGATCAACTGTCCCAATTTTTGCAAGTGGGAGGTAATTTTAGCTGGGCCTTTGGTCCTTTACATGTGTCATCATTTTGATTTCTTGAATAAACTGGTTTCTGTTCATCTTGTACTCTTCCTACTCTACACATAAAATCAGTAATTTCTCCAGTGAGCCCTAGTTCCTTTAGTGGGGAATGGTATTTAGACACCAAGATCTAGGGTTTAGTTGTGCTCATTGCTATGAAATCTTTGCTTTTAGGTCCTTTCAGCTGCTAAAACTAAGTATATATACACCCACATATATATCCATATCTATTTCTTTCTTTGGACAAACACACAATAAATATATAATGATACCTACAACTGGAATTCAACACTATAGGGTTCATTTTAATTTCCTTCCTCTTCATTACTTAATACCCTCCTCTAACAATGAGAAACTTGGCTTCCATTATCAATCTATTTACCTATCTACTCAATCCTATAATTCACAGAAAATCATTTCAGAATAGCCACCTAATACCACTGCAAATACACATAATTAGAATTCAACACTTATGCACAGTACATTTTAAATTTAGGCTTGGGATACATAGCCAAATACTGTGTACAGTTACTTGAGTTACTCCCACACCTATCTGGTGAGGTTATGTTATTTACTTGTTAGGTTCATCTTCTAATTATACTCCATTATGGATCCTCCTGCCCCGTTTTTATTTTATTTTGAATATATAAATTATTACCATGGTTCCAAATTTAAAAATGTAACAAAAAAGTACAACCAGGGAAGTGTCACTTGTGCACTTTAAGCCCCCTGTACTGTTCCCACCCACTCTTGTAGGTAACCAATCTCATTAGTTTCTGGGTTTTTTGGTCCTTTTTTGCAAAAATAAGCAAGTAACGTGCATTTCCTTATATCCTGAAAATCACTGGAAATGACCTTATCATTTTCAGCTGCATAGTATTCTATTGAGTAGATATAACATACGTAATCCATCCAAACACCCAGCAATGGACATTTATACTTGTAATTACAAATAATGTTGCAATGTCTAGTTTTGTGAAAATGAATTTTTGTGTTTGGGAAGAATATCTTTAGGGTAAATTCCCAGAAGGAGGAATTGCTGTGCGGTTCTGTTAGATACTGCCACATTTTACCCGCCATAAAGGATGCACTAGTTTGTATTCCCACCAGCAATGTAGGAGAGTGCCTGTTCCCCTACATTCTTACAGAGTGGCAAAGATCAAAGAGCTTCATAACACAATCTGCTACAAAAGAATTTAGTAACTCAAGAGTAGCTTTAATCTGTACTCCTCTTATGAGGTAGAAATATTTCCACTTAACAGTGATATACATATATATCAAGCTTTACAGATGAAACTGGCATTACCCTGATGCTCCAAAGAATACCAATGTGCCCCCAGCACTTGATGCTATATTTCTGGGGGGGGGGGGGGGGGGTAGAACCCAATTAATAACACAAAAGTCCTCCATTTCCTATGTGCTTGTTGTTTATTTCTCATTTCTTCTCTACCACTTTTCCCTTGTACCATTATATTGTCCTTCACAACCCTTCCCAACTATTTTTTAAGGCAAAAAAAATGAATAAATCTGTGAAGGAACCAGCTGGACCAGATGAAAGGGCATTCTAATCCATGATTTCTTGCAATTGACTTCAGAATATAGGATGGGAGTCAGAGATGGGAATGAGAAAGCAGGCAGAAAATTATTTAGGACACTGACTGTAGGTATAATTAAATGATTCGAGTCCGCTTCTGGAAAGTAAGGCCAGGGCCCATAGAAGTGTGACAAGCACTAGGACCTACTGTGAGTCAGATTAACATGATGTGACTTGATCCCCAGGACAGACTAAAGCACCAGTGCACAGCTGAACATTCAGCAGTAAGAAGAGCATCCCTAAGTCATACTTACACCAGTTGAAATAGCTCCAGGTCTCCTGTGAGTTTTCGTCTGACCATGAGTAGCAGGCTGGCCTTTAAATCCCCATCGTTTCATGACACCTTGGAAACCCTTACCAATACTGAACAAGATAAACATTAGAATTTACATAATGAGCAGAGCACAGTATACTCCCAACTATACACCTTCTTGATAGCACCTTAGAGTTTTAACAAAGCTCCTTATCTAAATAACTAGAAAAGGCTATACAAGCAAGACTGCAAATCAACATTTCTTTATCTCTGACCTGGTTTGCACCCCTTCCTGAAGTCTCATTCTATATAAAATGATTAATTCAAGATAGTGAGACAAGAGCAAGCTAAGCGAAGGGAGTTCAATTTGAACAGGGAGTTTTATCATCATAATCCTACGAAACAAGGTAGGAAGAGTGGTAAATTTTTAGAAGTTCCAAAGTACTCACAAGAGATAATGGCAGGCAACCATTAAGATCCCCGCACTTCCTGGTACCCGCGCCCTCAAGTAATCACTTCCTCTGGAATCTGGGTGGACCTAGCAACTTACTTCTAAGGAATAAACTGTGGAAGAAGTGATGAGATGCCATCTCTGACACTAGGTAACAGGAGAATGTGACTTCCATCTTGGCACGCTCTTGCCTGACTCTGAAGGAAGGAAACTGCCTAACTGGAAGCTATTTTACAGAGTCCAGAGGCAAGGATGTCTCCAGCCAACAGCTGTGGACCCAAGGCTTGGCACAGCAATGGCAGTGAGCTTGGAGGCAATTCTCCCCCAAGTGGAACCTTGACTGATGCCTCAGTTGCAGTCTGTGAGACACCCACAGCCAGAGGAACTCAGCTAAGTTTACTGGGACTCCTGATCACAGAAGTTGTGAGGTAATAAACAGTTGTCATTTTAAGCTGTTATGATTAGGGGAATGTTTTATGCACCAATAGGAAACTAATACAACAGAACAATAAATAAAACAATAATAATGTCCTAAATGCTGAATACTTTACTACTAGAAGATACCAGATGGATATTAGTTTCAAGGTTTAAATAGGAAGCTAATGAAAAAATAAAATCAGAGAGTAACAATTTCTTAAAGGGTAACATTTCATTTTTAAAACAAAACCATTCTACTTTCAAAGTACAGACTGACAATCCCCAGAAGAGGGGGTGGGGGGAGAGAGATAAACCACAGAACTTATATGCATGTATGCATGAACAATAGACATGGACAACAAAGCTGGGGACGGGGGGGGGGGGGGTATCAGTGGAGGAAAAAGGAGAAACAACTGTAACAAAAATAAATAAATAAATAAATAAATAAATAAATAAATAAAAGAATGAATAACACACACACAAAAAACAAAGTAGGCTAACTAGAGAAACACTGCCACGCAGGTAGAAAGCGAACAATACTAAGATTCAAAGCATTATTAAGTCTGTCTCTGATTGTCAACTATATCAGTACAAATGATACATTAAAAGGGCTAGAATAAATTGTAAGCTGTGCTGAACATATTTTTATAGACTCTTAAGATGAGCATTTTTTTTTAGCTCTCATTAGATGATATGTCAACATATTTTTATTTATTTATTTATTTTTGTTATCCTCACCCGAGGACATTTTTCCATTTTTTGTTCAGGTAGAGTGGGAGGGAGAGAGAGGAACAGAGAGAGAGAGAGAAACATCGACGTGACAGGAACACATCGAGTGGCTGCCACCCGTACAACCGACCAGGGCCGGGGACAAACTGCAACCGAGGCACGCGCCCTTAGCGGGAACCGAACCCGGGTCTCTCAGGACCGCAGGCCGACGCTCTAACCGCTGAGCCAAACCGGCCAGGGCAACATATTTTTAATGTAATGTTTCCTAACCCTAATAAAGCTAGCTACTATTAAATAGGCAGTGACTAGTTCAGGCCATTTACAAAAATGGAACAAAAACAAAAGATTATGAAAATCACCTTATTTCCACAAGGATTTTGCTATGCATTTAATAAAGAATTATCAGTGAACTGGAGTAAGCCCATATGTATAACAGTTTATTTTAGATAAATCAATGATCCAACAAAAAAAACAGAACGAACTATCTATAGAACCTAAGAGCTGAACATTAGCAAATCACAGGTCAAGTTATTTGTATGTGAATAATTTAAGTGTAGCTTACACCACTTTCTTCATATTAATCAAGTGGACACATCACTTATGATGTATATATAATTCTTTTTATTTTTTATTTTTTTGCTTCAACAACTCAAAATAGTGCTTATTCCTGATACAAGAGCTAAAATGGAAGTTTAACATATTAAATAAAAAATTTGCAAGATTAACATTTGAGAAGAAAATTTGATAAGCAAATATTTTACTGAAATTCTGCTTCAGAAACTTAACAAATATTTCCATTTAACAGTGGATTTTAGAACACAATGCAAAATAAAAAGCTTGGCAATTTAAAAACAAAAAAGAAATACCTAAAGAGTCATTTGAACCTATGCTATTGTTTGACAAATAACACAGTAAAGAAAAAAGGGGAAGGGACTGGCAACACTAAACCTAAAATGAACATGTTTTAAAAATACCACATTCTAACACTGGCCATTCTTGGTAGAAAGTTTGCTGGTGCTTCTGAGTTCTCAATCTGATTCATCTCTTACTTAAAAAGAGAGCATGACTGTACACCAATAACACACATGCCAGGTAACTTACAGAAGATAATTTAGCTCAATTTGAGGGTAAATGATTATAAGATGAAAATGGTATCCTGAAAGTGCTAATTATCTGTCAGCTAATTACAGATTGTTTTTTAATCTAGTTCAAGAGTACATCATGTTGTTATACTGTGTACAATGGCAAAGTCTTCAACAAATAACTTTTAAACAAAAGGACAAAACACAATGCCACGACAAATTACTGGCTTAATTCAGATGATGGAGAAGAGAGTGCACCTGTTGACCCATGGGTGGTACAGGTATCTATTCTTTTGTTTCTTTCAATTGTCACCCAACTTGAGAACAAAACAAAAGAAATGAACCAATCTATACTTAGCATACCCACGCACATTTCCAATATTAGGTTTTCACAGGTCACATAAAACAAACCCTTCATTTTACTAGAAATGATACACAACACAAAGCACACACGCTTCACCCCCAGTCCTTTTCTTTTCTTTCTTTCTTTTTTTTTTTATCCTCACTCGAGGACATTTTCCCATTTTTTGTTCAGGTAGAATGGGAGGGAGAGAGAGGAACAGAGAGAGAGAGAGAAACATCGACATGAAAGGGACACATCGAGTGGCTGCTACCCGCACGACCCAACCAGGGCCGGGGACAAACCACAACTGAGGTACGTGCCCTTAGCGGAAATCGAACCCGGGACTCTCTGGACTGCAGGCCGAAGCTCTAACCACTGAGCCAAACCGGCCAGGGCCCCAGCCCTTTTCTAAAGCAGTCTTTAGTTAATGACAGTAGAAAAACATCACATCAAGGAACATTCAAATCAGAAAGAACACAATGTTAAAAGTTCCAAATTTAGAGAAACATCTGAAAATTAGAAAAACCAAAAAAATGTATTTTATTTAGAGCATTTATACTTTGTTAAACCAAGAATTCATTAAAAAAAAAAAAAAAAAAAACCAAAAACCCTCAGAAATACTATTTAAATTTAGGAGATTTCATGGCCCTGTTTCTTGGCTTATTTCCTTAGTATATTTTAAATTTGTGAAGGGTAGGAATTGTGTATTATTTAATCCTAGTGCCCAACCTACAGAAGCCAGAGCAATTCTGTTACTGGCAAAAGCTTTGTCTTAGGAAAAAATATGATTAGTTTCCTTTATTTTGCCCTGTCGTTTCCAAATGTTGTAAAATGCGCATGCCTTCCATAAAAGTTTAAGGAGATGGTGTTAAGAAAAGAAGAAGAGGGACTTAAGGGTATGACTGTAAGAATCCTGCAGAAGAGAATGCATAATTTAATGTTTCTAACTGCAGTCTACAAATCTCTGTAGATTACTACCATGTGACTTTCATCCCCTTGCCACATTGTGACAAACGCCCAAATGTCTACCAGCAGACCCAAAGGTTTTAATACAAACCCATCAGTATTTCCCCACTTTGTGGGAAACTGCCTTTGATTTCATGGTTCAGGATACACTCATATAAGGAGACAAAACAAAATGACCAAGACGTGAGGAGTGCTCAAGTCCATCCATTGAGTCCTCTGAGAACTCCCTCCAGAATTCTCAAGGCTGAGTCTCCCTGACACTGGCTTCTTCCACCTTCTCTCTCCTCCGTATTCCTTTCTTCTCTTTCTTAGGAAACAAAATGCTTCTCTCTCTCTCATCCACCATCAGAAATCTATTTTTCTCTCCAACTGTTTTCTGGAAATCACTCTGAGGTTAACCCCCTTAGTTCCCAAATCCAAAAGCCTTTTTATTAAAATAACTTTTTTATTATGGAAGTTTAAAACATAGTCAAAAGCAGAAAGACTAGAACAATGAATCCATATGTATCCATCACCCAGGGTCAAAGAATTTTTGACTCAAGGAATATTCTGTTTTATCTACTTCCCTCCCCTACAATTCCAATGGATTATTTTAACACAAATTCCAGATATCATATCATTCCTTAATATCAAATATCCAGTCTGTGTTCAAATTTCTATGGCTTCTTTTAAAATAGAACTGTCCTCTATCACTCCTTACTACCCTCTCCCACCACCCCAATCATCATTTCCTCCCCATTCTCCTGCTTCCCTAATGCTCACTGGGAAGTCCTTTCCCCTTACAGCAACAAGAAAAGATCTCTTAGAGTCCTGCCTCTGACCCTCTTCTCACTATGGTTTGAACCAGGGGTTGGCAAACTATGGTCTGCCTTGGCCACTTGTTTTTGTAAATAAAAGTTTTATTATAACACAGCCACACATATTCCTACTTATTGCCTATGATTGTTTTAGAATTATAATGACAACATTATAATGTTTTAGAATTATAATTGCAACAGAGACCATAATGTTTGCAAACCTCTAATATTTACTGTCCCTTTGAGAAAAAGTCTGCTGACCCCTGAACTATTACCAATAAGCTGGAGTTCCACAAAACCTTGCTCTCTGGCAAGAATTCTGCTA